ATGGCCACACAGAACTCACAGACTGTACTTATAGTTAAGTGGTTTATTAAGAAACAGAGTACAACTCAGGATTGGTATCAACAGGCTACAACTCAGGATCAGGAAGCATGTAGGCAAAATCTTCCTTCTTCAGTGCAGGACAGCTCTCTCAGCTCCTCTCAGCCATGCAGGTGACTCTCTCTCAGGACAGACCTCCTCTGGCCCCTTGAGGATAGGCTTCATCTTGGCCCCCTCAGGACAGGCCTCCTCTTGGCCCCCTCAGGACAGGCTCCTCTCAGCCCCCTCAGGACAGGCCTCCTCTCAGCCCCCTCAGGACAGGCTCCTCTCGGCCCCCTCAGGACAGGCCTCCTCTCGGCCCCCTCAGGACAGGCTCCTCTCAGCCCCCTCAGGACAGGCTCCTCTTGGCCCTGTCATCCATCACAACCAACTCTGCCGCAGTGCCCCTTCTGGGCCTGTTGCTGTCTTCAGTGTTACAGCCCTTGACCCGTGTTACAGTTCTTTAAGGAGGTTCCTTGCCTCCTTTGTTTGCTTCTTCTCTCTTCTGTCTTCTTTCGTCCTTCTGCTTCTCTTCCTGCTTCTTTATGTCTCTAAAAAACCTCTCTGGGGCTGGCCGCTTAAATACACAAACTCCTTGTCACTTTTAAGGCCTGGCCCTCCCACCAGGGCCATGAACTGACCAATTCCCTCTTGGTAAGCCAGACACGTCTTTTGCATAGTAGGTTACAACTCACCTCATTTGCATAGTCTATTGACCAATCCCTGCAAGGTGCATACCAATCACAGGTCAGGTGGCAGCCCAGGACCAGACAAAAAGTATCAAACCAAGTTGTTTACAGCTTTACCAGGAAATGTAAATCAACCTGGACAAAGGTAATAAACCCTCTGAGGTAGAAAACTAGAGCAAAGTTAACTCCTCAGGGCCTAGGGAAAAATCTCTCAAGCTGTTTTTCCAAAGAGCCAAGGCAAAAGGTCACATAAAGGAACTCATTTCATCACAGTCTCCCAAGGAGGAGTTTGTGCCTTGAAAGATGAATGTTGGTGTTAGAAATAATGCTGGAGATCACATAATAGAATTTTGCAAGAACAATGACTTATTCATTGCAAATACCTTTTTTCAACAACATAATTTGCAACTATACACGTGGACCTCACCAAATGGAAAACACAGGTATCAAACTGACTACATCTGTCCAAAGAGATGATGGAAAACCTCAATACTGTCAGTTAGAACAAGGCCCGGGGCCGAATGTGGAACAGACCATCAATTGCTCATATGCAAGTTTAAGTTGAAGCTGAAGAAAATTAAAACAAGTCCATGAAAACCAAAACATAACCTTGAGTGTATCCCACCTGAATTTGGAGACCATTTCAAGAATAGGTTTGATGCATTGAACACTAATGACCAAAGACCAGACGAGTTGTGGGATGACATCAAGGACATCATACACGAAGAAAGCAAGAGGTCATTAAAAATACAGGAAAGAAAGAAATGAAAAGACCAAAATTGGATGTCAGAAGAAACTTGCTCTTGAACATAGAGTAGCTAAAGTGAATGGAAGAAATGATGAAGTAAAAGAGCTGAACAGAAGATTTCAAAAGAGGGGCTCGAGAAGTCAAAGTAAAGTATTATAATGAAATATGCAAAGACCTGGAAAACCAAAAGGGAAGAACATGCTTGGCATTTCTCAAGCTGAAAGAACTGAAGAAAAAAATTCAAGCCTTGAGTTGCAATACTGAAGGAACCTATGGATAAAATATTGAATAACCCAGCAATCATCAAAAGAAGACGGAAGGAATACACAGAGTCACTTTTCCAAGAAGAATTGTTCAACATTCAGCCATTTCTGGAGATAGCGTATGATCAAGAACTGATGGTACTAAAGGAAGAAGTCCAAGCTGCACTGAAAGCCTTGGCGAAAAACAAGGCTCCAAGAATTGACCGAATACTACTGAGATGTTTCAACAAAGGGATGCAGCACTGGAGGTGCTCACTCTTCTATGCCAAGAAATTTGGAAGACAGCTACCTGGCCAAATGACTGGAAAAGATCCATATTCGTGCCCATTCCAAACAGAATGCGGAAATTATTGAACCATATCACTAATATGACATGCAAGTAAAATTTTGCTAAAGATAATTCAAAAGTGATTGAAGCAGTACATCAACAGGGAACTGCCAGAAATTCAAGCCAGATTCAGAAGAGGATGTGAAACAAGGGATATCATTGCTGATGTCAGATGAATCTTGGCTCAAAGCAGAGAATACAAAAAAGAGGTTTACCTGTGTTTTATTGACTATGCAAAGGCATTTGATTATGTGGATCATAACAAATTACAGGTAACATTGTGAAGAATGGGAATTCCAGAACACTTAATTATGCTCATGTGGAACCTGTACATAGACCAAGAGGCAGTTTTTTTAACAGAACAATGGGATACTGCGTGTTTTAAAGTCAAGAAAGGTGTGCATCAGTGTTGTATCCTTTCACCATACTTATTCAATCTGTATGCTGCAAATAATCTGAGAAGCTGGACTATATGAAGAAGAAGGCGGCATCAAGATTGATGGAAGACTCATTAACAACCTGCGATGTGCAGATGATGCAATTGAAAGCAAACTTACTGATGAAGACTACAGCTTTCAGTATGGATTACACCTCAACACCTCAACACAAAGAAAACAAAAATTCTCACAAATGGACCAATAAGTAACATCATGATAAATGGGGAAAAGTTTGAAGTTGTCAAGGATTTCATTTTACTTGGATCCACAATCAATGCCCATGGAAGCAGCAGTCAAGAAATCAAATGACATATTACATTGGGTAAATCTGCTGCAAAAGACCTGTTTGAAGTGTTGAAAAGCAAAGATGTCACTTTGAGGACTAATGTACACCTGACCCAAGCCATGGTATTTTCAATCGTCTCATATGCATGCAAAAGCTGGACAATGAATAAGGAAGACAGAAGAAGAATTGATGCCTTTGAATTATGGTGTTGGCAAAGAATATTGAATATACCTTGGACTGCCAGAAGAACGAACAGAAGTACAGCCAAAGTGCTCCTTGGAAGCAAAGATGGTGAGACTTCGTCTCGCGTACTTTGGACATGTTATCAGGAAGGACTAGTCCCGGGAGAAGGACATCGTGCTTGGTAAAGTAGAGGGTCTGCAAAAAATAGGAAGACACTTCAAGAGATGGATTGACACAGTGGCTGCAGCAATGGGCTCAAATATGGCAATGATTGTGAGGATGGCACAGGACTGGACAGTGTTTCATACTGTTGTACATAGGGTCGCTATGAGCTGGAAATGACTCGACAGCACCTAACAACAACAGATGAATGTTGCTATGTTTATATTAATAATATACAATTTGAGGTTTTGCAGATTGTAGCTGCTGTTGAAGCATATGAAAAGCAGTTACTGATTCTGCTTATGTATAAACAAACGCCTCATGGGATTTGTTTCCTGACTTCAAAGACCTAGGGTCATGGTTTTTTTTGGTAACTTCAGTCACTTGGCCTAATATTGTTCTTAATGTTTTTGCTTCTACTTCCTAGTTCATTGTGTAGTGTCTGGGGTCTTAAAAGCTTTGAAGCACCCATCTAAGGTGCAACAATTGGTCTCTAGTCATCTGGAGCAGCAGAGGAAAGGAGAGCCAGGCAGAGGAAGAACTAGATTCCATGTCTGATTGCCTCCATTAACAACTGTCTTCTCTGCCACAAAGCCAGAAGAATTGGATGGTGCTGGCTACCATTATTGAATGTTTGTGATCAAAGATTCTATAGCAGGATCCTGATCAAATGGGAGGAAATGAGAAACCATTTTAATTCTTCTGGAATCCAGATTTCTGGATCCATGGAGTTGGGATGACCCACTCAGGCCATTTGCCCTTAGGTGTCCTTTTGAACCTTGAGTCTTTAAGGAACTGTTTTCCTAAACCAAAATCACTGCCATCGAGTTGATTCCTACTCATAGCAACCCCATAGGGTTTCCGAGACTGTGAATCCCTACAAAAACAGACTGCCATATCTTTCTCCTGCAGAGCGTCTGGTGGTTTCGAGCCACTGGCCTTTCAGTTAGCAGTTGATCACTTTAACCACTGTGCCACCAGGGTCACCTTCAAGTCAAATAATAGCCTAGTAAACAGCTTAGCGGAGATCGTTTTGCCTTAGGCATTGGGCCCTTTTGGAGAATTACAATGACCTTCAGGAGACTATCCTGCCCAGACCCTGCCTATATAACCTGTTTTCACTATCCCCTCTTTGGAGTGCCTTCCCAATACCTCATGTTGATGCTGCTTGATTCAAATCATAGCTACTCACAATAAATATATTCTGTTACACGAAAAAAATAGCATTTTAATAACCTTTACATTTTTTAAGGGAGGAGTCAGAATTAACTTGACAGCAACAGGTTTGGGTTTTTTTTTTTTTTTTTTGGTTACAACTAGGGATTGTAGGAACCCTGATGGTGCAGTAGTTAAAGCACTTGGCTGCTGACTGAAAGGTCAGCAGTTCAAATCCACAAGTCACTCCGTGGGAGAAAGATGTGGCAGTCTGCTTCTGTAAAGATTACAGCCTTGAAAACCCTATGGGGCAGTTCTTTTCTGTCCTATAGGGTCGCTATGAATCGGAATTGACTTGATGGCAAAGAGTTTGGTTTTGTACTAGGGATTATATCTAGGACTTATCAAGATCACCTGTAAAAGGCAGAATTACATTTTGACTTTGATTTTAATTCAGGGTTTCAATGGACATTAAAAAGTTCAACACTTAGTATTTAGTCTCTTTTTTAGTGTGCTTTTCTTCTCTCAAGGTCAGTCTAACATGAAATGTTCGTAAATTGCCTACCATAATCTCAGGTTTTTATGTTGCATTTTTCTAGGAGCGTAAAACAATTTGGTGCACGGCTTTTCCCTCCAGAGTTTCTTATATTTTAGTAAGCTATTTCTTTTAGTAAAATTAGAAAGATTAATATGTTAATATGTTGCTCTTACAGAATTATGAAATTTCATGTTGCAAAACGGAAGTTTAAGGAAACATTACGCCCATATGATGTTAAAGATGTCATTGAACAATATTCTGCTGGCCATCTGGACATGTTGTGTAGAATTAAAAGCCTTCAAACACGGTAAGCAGTGAAAATGTTATTTTTTGTAGTGGAATGGGCATAGAACCTATCTGGGAGGAACTTCACTTTAGTAGAGAAAATTGCTGAATTCCACGTATGAGTCAGAATCAACTCGTTGGCGGCAGGTTTGGTTTTGGTTTATATTCCTCTTCTAATTCCACTCTATTTCTAATTCATTTTTAGTGGACAACTGGACTTTTACTTTTAACATAGATTTTATTTAAGGGTATAAATCAGGCATTACAAGCCTCCAACTATACACAGTCTCAGTTTCCTCATTTGTAAAAATAAAGATAATATCCATGCTTGTTTCATGGGCTTGTCATGACGATTAAATGAGTTAATACACATAACTTTGAGCACCTGATAGGTCTGGCACTGAGTGCTCGATAAATATTAATAGTTGTTGCTGATGGCCTTTGCATTATTGCTGCTGCTGCTACTCCTGTTGTTGTTTTTGTTACTATCTAAATCCTAACCATCCTTCAGAAACAAGCTCATCTTTCTCTTTCATTAAACTTTACCCAACTATCCAGCCCACAGAGTCAGACCTGGCCCTTCTCTGACCTCCTGCCTTATTTAGTGTCTACTACAGAGCATAAGAAGGAGCCCTGGTGGTGCAATGGTTAAGCTCTTTGCTGCTAACTGAAAGGTTGGTAGTTCGAACCCACCAGCTGCTCTGCAGGAGAAAAGACCCGGTGATCTGCTTTCATAATGATTACAGCCTAGGAAACCCTATGGGGCAGTTCTATTCTGTTATATAGGGTCACTATGAGTTGGAATCAACTCGATGACACAGAATGACATCAAAAACACAGAGCTTAAGTAATTTGTGGGTGGTGCAAACGGTTAAGCACCCAGCTATCAACTGAAAGGTTGGTGGTTCAGCTCCACCCAGAGGTGCCTCAGAAGAAAGACCTGGTGATCTGCTTCCAAAAGGTCACAGCCATGAAAACACTGTGGAGCACAGTTTTACTCTGAAGCATATGGGGTCACCATTAGTTGGAACTGACTCGCTGCTACTGGTTTGAGTTTGTGTCATTTTGTTTTGTTTTGTAGAGCATAAAACCACTCAATTTTGGTCTGCTCGGTCAAACAGTTGAGACTGAGAACAAGTGGTTGGCTCTTGTATTGTTTCTTGGTTCCAAGCGTATTCCCCTTGCTCTTGACTAAGACTGAGCCCTTCCCTTCTTTCTTGTCCCATATGATGCTAGATGGGAATCCCAAGGTGGTGCAAATGGTTAACGTGCTTGGCTGCTAACTGAAAAGTTAGAGGTTCAAATCTACCCATAGGTGCCTCAGAAGAAACTCCTAGTGATCTACTTCTGAAAAATCAGCCACTGAAAACCCTATGGAGAACAGTTCTACTCTGACACACTGGGGTCATCATGAATCAGAATCAACTCAACAGCAATTGGTTAGGTTAGGTTAGTTTATGATGCTAGATACACACCATCCTTCCCATGAACATCTTATTGAGCAATTAGAAGAAATGAGTTCAATATGCTACTTCCAACCACATGTGGTGACTGTGTAGTCTCAAAGCCAAAATACTTAATGAATTCAGATTTTTAAGAGTCTTGCTTCACTACTAGGCACATGGTTACCTGCATTTGTGATTTAATAATTCCCAAAATGTAAGGACTAAGTCTTAAATATTTTTATACCCCCATAGCACACTTAGCCCAGTGTAAAGCCTCTTCTACCCTTAATAAAGACTTGTTGATCAGTTATAGAAATCACCATTTGTTCATTCATTCATTTATTCATCAGATAACTGTTGAGCCTGTTATGTGTACCAGGCACTGTGCACATTCAGTCCTTATAGAGCTTGCAATGTAATAGATTAGATGTCACAGATGTCACAAGAGAAGGTAGACACTACCTACATTTCTATGCAGAGAAAGTAAACTGAAAGTTGGGTCAATAACCCTGATAATTCAGTTCCAAAACACACACACACACGCACAAGAAAGTTATTCCTATTTAGGCTGATTAAGTCTCCTTGGAAATTGTCTTTACTCATCCTGTGGTCATGTTACAACCTCTGTCTAGGTGGCCTGGGTCTTCCAAGTCCTTTAACAGAACTATCTTTGGCTCCCAAGGTTTTTATAAAGTTGAACTGCTACAGAATTTATGAAACAAATTTTGGGTTTCTAGCTCATGAAGTGTATATTCTTCAACTAGATTGTGACTTCCACACGACAGAGACTGTAACTTTCTTATCTGTGTGTCTCCCATGTGTCAGAGGTGCAATAAATACTTGCTGAATAAACCGTTCTGTTAAAACTACAAAACAGTCACAATTATGACTTCCTCATATTTTGAAGTGCTTAGATTCAGGAAGTGGTTGGTCAGAGGTGGGAACAAATTATTTTATAGTTGAGGACAGTTTTGCCTCCAGAAGATCACTCGTAAGCGATTTCATCATGCACCAGAATGAGAAAATTAATCACATGTGTAGTTCTCATGCTAAAAAAATAAGCACATCAACTGGAACAAGTTCATCTTTATTTCACCTTATATAAATGAAAGATAATTGTATTTAATTCTTCTTTTCCAAACACTTCACTCTGGCCTAAGACGATCTCCGTCTTCAACACTCATAATCAGATCTCCTTTTTCTCTGACAGTGTCGACCAAATTCTTGGAAAAGGGCAAATCACATCAGACAAGAAGAACCGAGAGAAAATAATGGCAGAACATGAGACTACTGATGACCTCAGTATGCTTGGCCGGGTAGTCAAGGTTGAAAAACAGGTACAACTCAACTACACTGGTTAACTTTTTAGCCAGAATTTTTTAAATCAAAACAGATGATAGGCAGTTGGATGTATTTTAGTGATTAATGTATTTTAAAAAGAGTTTGCTCTGTAAAACTGTTTGCTCTGTAAACCTTCATCTAAAGTGCAATAAAAAAAATTAAATTTATATATTTTAAAAAGATTAAAATTAAGAAAGAAGTAATGAAATTAATCTTTGTGTGTAGAAAGTGCTCTCTAAAACACTGTTGGATTTTCATATAAGGAGCAGACAATTTCATCTTATCAATTAATACTTGAACTGGAAGTAACTGGATTTTCATTAGTAAAATAACCAAGACATCTTTTTCATTTGTGTTTTGGTTGTTTTCATTGTCTCTTTTGATCACTGTTTTCGAAAATAAAACAAAACCTCATTATAATTATGATGACACATTTAATGTTTGTTAACCCAGACACTATATCTTCACATATAAAGACTGTTTTCCAGAAATCAAATTACTCCCCCAATTTAATCAGAAATACTCCATGTATTAATTTTGAAACATTTTCCACCTTTATTTTTGCATTGAGAATCACCTTGACTGATATTTAAGGTCTTAATTTCATCCTAAGTTCCTTATTACACCGCAGTAGAGGTCCAGAATATCTTCTTAGAACAGCATTAGGAAAGCAATCTGATTGGGGTGGGGAGTCTTGAAGTTGCATTTGTATAGTGCTTATATGATTTTTGAAAACATCAATTGTCTGTTTTAAAGACTTCGGCGGAGTGGCTGCCGATGGTGATTATGTAGGAGCCAAAGCATCCCTCTCCCTGTAAATTCTCCTTTTGCCCCACCACTGTTAGACTGTACATTCACTACAGGTCAGGACTGCATTGTACTTTACACTCAATATTTATTTAACTGTGTTAACATACCTTGATTTCATTTTTTAATCCTAGAAGTGAAAGCCATTCTTAAATAACAGGTTATACTCATGTGTAATCATTTCTCTCCTTTTAGGTACAGTCCATTGAGTCCAAACTGGACTGCCTACTAGACATATATCAACAGGTCCTCCGGAAAGGCTCCACCTCAGCCCTCACTTTGGCTTCATTCCAGATCCCGCCTTTTGAATGTGAACAGACATCTGACTATCAAAGCCCTGTGGATAGCAAAGACCTATCCACTTCCACACAAAACAGTGGCTGTTTATCTAGATCAGCTAGTGCCAACATCTCACGGGGCCTGCAGTTCATTCTGACGCCAAATGAGTTCAGCACTCAGACTTTCTATGCGCTTAGCCCTACTATGCACAGTCAAGCAACACAGGTGCCAATGAGTCAAAGTGATGGCTCCGCAATGGCGGCCACCAACAACATTGCAAACCAAATAAACACGGCACCCAAGCCAGCAGCCCCAACAACTTTACAGATCCCGCCTCCTCTCCCAGCCATCAAGCATCTGCCCAGGCCAGAACCCCTGCACTCAAACCCCACAGGCTTACAGGAAAGCATTTCCGAAGTCACCACCTGCCTTGTTGCCTCTAAAGAAAATGTTCAGGTTGCACAGTCAAATCTGACCAAGGACTGTTCTCTGAGGAAAAGCTTTGACATGGGAGGAGAAACTCTGTTGTCTGTCAGTCCCATGGTGCCGAAGGATTTGGGCAAATCTTTGTCTGTACAAAACCTGATCAGGTCAACAGAAGAACTGAATATACAGTTTTCAGGGAGTGAGTCAAGTGGCTCCAGAGGCAGTCAAGATTTTTACCCCAAATGGAGGGAATCCAAATTGTTTATAACTGATGAAGAGGTGGGTCCTGAGGAGACGGAGACAGACACTTTTGATACTGCGCTGCAGCCTGCCAGGGAAGCTACTTTTGCGTCAGACTCTTTAAGGACTGGAAGATCACGATCATCTCAAAGCATTTGTAAGGGAGGAGAAAGTACAGATGCCCTCAGCTTGCCTCATGTCAAACTGAAATAAGTCCTTTGTTTTCTTTCTAGACATAGCAATTCCTTTAGCCATACATATCATTGCATGAACTATTTTGAAAGCCCTTCTAAAAAGTTGAAATTGCAGTTATCAGGGACAACATGAAAGGTAGTTTGTAAGCCCGTTATCTTTTAATTGCATGAAAATGCATGTTTAGGGATGGCTGAAATTCCAAGGTACATCGACATTAACCCACTCATTTAGTAACGTACCTTGAGTGACAAATTCTGAGAAACCAAACACTACTAATGCTAGGGAGTGTATGAAAATGCCAAGATTAGGTCATTTAGAAGATCTGACACTGTGTTTTGAAATTATGGGCGCGAGCACCTTCAAATTTCAGGCATTTCTGCTTTGTGGTTAAATACAAAATACATTTTCAAAATTAGGCCATAATGTATATTTAAACCCAATGGCTACCAGCAGCTGCTAGCAAAGAATCAAGTAAAGCAGAATTTGGGAATAATAGAAATGGCTGCTTATTTCAAAATATATTTGCCAACTCATTCCTCTTCAGTCATTTTATTATTAATGTAATTTGAATGTCAATTTGTGTGCTTTTGGTGATTTAGTGCTGTGGCAAGCAGTTTTGCACATCGTTTTCATATCGTTCTTTAAGATGAGAATGTTCTTCAATTAGAAATTGTGCAAATAATGAAATTCAGGGCCAGTGGGGCAAATAAACTATTTGACATATTTGACTTTATAGAAACGTATTTCCCTGCTGGCTGGATCAGCTTTATAAGTGGTCAACTTCTACACAAGCAGATGAACCACTGATAGCTGGAACAGCCAATGTGATTGGGTTGATCTCTCCGCACTGGCACCAACCTCAGGGGGAGGGTGAGAAGCTATTCTCATTAAGCTGACATATGGGCAGGACCCTAGGGGATGGGACATTTGAGTGGGACTGGAATGGAAAAGCTTTGAGAAGAATGCAGAAACAACACCGGGAAGTAGACGAGGATAAAGAAAGTGGCTTCCCCCTCATAGGGGAATGAGAAGGAGAGAAACAAACTAAAATAGAACTAGATTTTTTAAAATAAGTATTGCTAGGAAATTCAACTACCTAAACATCCCTTATTCTTATATATAAACACAGAATTTTGAAAGGTATTTATTTTTTAATATGCCCTTGAATGTCTTTTGCTATTATGTAGTGCATTTTGCATACGAAAAGCTAAAGCTAAACTTCCTTTACTTTTTATACTGTAGTGAACATTTTCTACTCTCCCCAAGAATGTTGCCCCAGATCTGAAATTACCCTGCCAGGTAACACCAGCAGGGTCTGCAGATCAAAACACTTAATAATATAAGCATGGCAGCAAAAAGACCAAGGGAAAATCATATTTACCAGAAAACACGCAATGCTGAACTGCTTGTTAGAAACCAATCTAGCTATCTCAGATCACCAGAACTTCAACCAAAGTAATGGCATTCTAAAGACAAGGAGAAGAGAGATATCATTTAAATTCAGCTAAAACCAGCCACAAGAAAGCAGGACATTAGCAGACATTAGTGCTGCCTTCAGAAAAACTTCTCCAGCAGCCAGGGAAAATAAGCAGGTATATTAACTGGTTGTCCAAAAGAAGAAGGAGGTTATACAAAAGAGGATCCTTCCTAAGTCTCAACCACAACAGACAGTCTTCAGCATCGAATCTCCTCCTACCTTTTTCTTTATTAACTCCTTATTGGTTCCCTGCCACTGTTTTGCTTCTGAACTTCACTAGGCTTCAACCAGCCTCCAGCCCCAAGTAAGTCACTTCTCCTCTCTACCTAAAATGTGCTTCTCAACCTTTTAAAATCCTTCTCCCTTTTGATAAGCACTGACATTTTAAAAGTTTCCTTTCCTCACCTACCTGCATCCCAGCACAGTCCCCTGGAGTGTGTCATTCAGAATCTTCTTGGCTGCTGGAGAAATACAGAAGACGGTCTAAATTTTACACTCCAGTTAAAAAGATTTTGTCAAGCTTTTAAAGCAACTATTTTCTTTTTCCAAATATAGAAATTTAGTAAATTATCAAACGCAATTTTTTATCTACTCATCCAGATGTTACGAGCATGCACACGCACACACGCATGCACACAAACACACCCCTCCACTGTCCTAAAGCTGGATACCTGCCATGCACTCAGTAGGCGCTTTCCAAATATTAGTGGAGGAAAAGGAAAGAGGCAGCAACTTTCAGGTAGCACTGATTCTTGGACACACTGTCCTGGGTCGAACCCCACTGGCAGCAGGAATCCTGAATGTACTGGGGATGCCTCCTTAGGCCTCTTCAGACCTCAAACACAGGCTGTTTCTCCAGCACTGCTGAGGACTGAAGATTCAAAAAACAAAACCGAAACTCATCACTGCAGTCTTAATCATAGCAAAATGTGACAAACCATGTTGTGAAAAACTTTTTATACATTGAAGCCATTTTGTGTCTCTTTCTCTAGCACAAAAATTTTGGATGTTAAAAGACAGTTGTATTGTGTGAAAACTGTAGGGTTTGTCTGTTGTGTTACTCTCTATGAATATTAGAGGGGTCTCCCATTTACACTTGGCAAAGTCCCATTGGTCAATCCTAAATGGTGTCTTGAAGCACAATTTAGCGGAGCACTGGGTAGCCATGTGCTTTCAGTTCAAATGTGTCTGCCTTCTTCAGTATGTTGGGTTGATCGAGCTAATACTTTAATTGCAAACATCCCTTGTATGAGGTGAACTAAAAAATTTTGATATGTCTGATCTAAATGTTTGCATTTTGTTCAACTAAATCACTATCTGTAATCGAAAATTTTGTTGAAAGTAAGCCACTTTATTGAGTTTTTAAGTCTTCATCTCCTGTTCTAAGGTGCCTTTCTCACCTCCCATTGACTCAGTGATTCTGAAAGCTCTTAATTTGCAGGTAAAACAAGTCTAATACAGAGGAGGAAATCAGGCACAAAGTGACGAATTCTCATGCCCATCTGCAAAGCAAAACTATAAGGAATGATGAAACCTAGCCAACGAAATTAATGGATCACTTTGTTCAATCAGATTGAGGAAATATCATAAATATTAACTTATCTCCCCAGAAGCTGATTTTTTTTTTTTTTTGCCTTAAATGACATGGTTGTGTTTTTGTAAGAGAAACTTAATTTAATATAATTATGTGCGTTTAAGTGAGCAGTTCTACAAGTCATGTATGACAATACAATTATCTGTTTCCTGAAAACAAATAAATCGAGAATATTATATCCATTTCAAGCTATGGTTAAAATGTAATTTCCTTCGCTCTTTTACTGAGATTATTTGTTTTAAAGTAAAACATTAAAAAGATGTCTATAAACAGCTAGTGTGACTGCTTTTATCTAGTACTAACTGGTTGCTTCTGAACTGACTGGTAGAAGTCAACCAAACTGACTGTATACAGATTTTGGGCTGAAATATAAAAACTATCTTTTTGCAGTGTTGCTGAGGAAATCTTTAGTAATTTGAGTAGGAGGAAGGTTTACAATTTTTTTTTAAAGGTATCATAAGAAAAATTAATTTGATTCGATATTGATCAAAACTCAGATACCAGCTCATATGAGCTTTGTGTTAGCTATACTAAAAGAATCTGCTAAACAAATGATAAGAAATGGGGAAAAGGCAGGTGTCCAGACGCTGCAACCCCTGGCTACTCAGAACTACTACTTTTAGCACCTACCCAGCTCTACCATAACAGAGTAGGGCTTCTGCTCCAAACGATCGTTTCTCCTTCTTCCCTAAGTATCCCGTTGCTTCTGTTCCACTAACAAATGTGTACTAAGTGTCCATGATTAATTCCAGTGGAAATATTTTAAAGGAGGCTCAGAATGTTAGAACTTTTAATACACAGCAACAAAGCCCTAAAGTCATTCAAGACAGAGGGAATGTTAGCTGGTGGGGTGGGGTGGGGGGGAGAACTTCCCACATAGTTGTCATGAGATCAAACAGATACGTCCCTATTGTATGAAAATTGTGTATGGAACATACTTGCTTGACCAGCGTAAAAATGTAAAGTGCTTCTAAACACTCTTGGGACTACTTTAGCAGTACCTCACAAATAAAAGCAAGTAATGAATATATTTACAATTATTCCACCCTAGCCACCTCTTAATTGATAGGAGTCCATGGGTAGTGCAAAATTGCTGTTAATCAAAAGGCTGGAGATTTGAGTCCATCCACAGATGCCTCAGAAGAAAGGCCCGGCAATCTACTTCTGAAAAATCAGTCCTTGAAAACCCTATGGAGCACAGTTCTACTATTACACACATGAGGTCACCATGAGATGAAATCAACTTGATGGCAATTGGTAACCATTGATAAAAATAGATTCCCAGACCTTGAACTGGCAACTTTAATTAGCCTGGTGTCTTAGGCTGGGTTCTCTAGAGAAGCAAAACCAGTGAAACATGTATATATAGAGAGAGAGAGAGATTTATCTCAAGGAAATGGCGCACACAGTTGTAGAGACTGGCAAGTCCCAAGTATGTGGGTCAGGTATCAGGCTGGAGGCTTCTCCTGATTCACATAGCTGGGGGTGCTGACAAACCCAAGATCGGCAGGTCAAATGGTAGGCTGCTGAATCGTGGCTGTGGAGGTGGACAAACCCAAGATCAGCAGGTATGATGGCAGGCTGCTGGCTAAAGTCCCAACACCAGAGGTCAGATGATGACAAGCTGAATGCAGGATCCAGAGGAAGAGCAAGCAAGCTTTGCCAGAATGTCCATATATATATTGGATACAGGTGACACCCCTGAGGAAGTACCCCTTACGACTGATTGGCTTATCATATCAGATCACATCATGGATGCTGACTACATCATTACATATTTGCCAAATTACATCATTACATAACTGCCAACCACTAAGAATCATGGCCCAGCCAAGCTAACATATAACCTTAATCATCACAGTCCACCTCTTGTCAACTTGGCACCTGTACACATCTCCTTAAACCATACACAGTCTCTAAATAAAGACAATTACAAAGTCATACTTAGGCCTAACATAATACAAATAACATGCATACAACCAAAAATGCACTAGCCCTGTTTACATCTTATGTTTTATAAGTGAAGAAAACAAAAATATTTGATGCACACATATAAGGAAAAAACACTCATAAAATTACAGTCCTCATTTCTGTAACTGGTCATGTGATCATAACTAGTATTTAGAACTACCTTCTTCCACCACCCATTCCATATTCCCTTTCCCCTCAGCAACACCTCAGCTGGTTGTGGTTCTTTGGTGGGGGTGACCCAAACTTCCATTCGTGAAGGGTCTCAGCCGTTAGCAGTCATGCTGCAATTGGGTTGCTGTAGTTTTCCATTGACCTTAATCACAGGGCATGGTAGTACTAAGAGACATCCTAAGGGATCTCCTGTATTCAAGATATATTCTTTTTTACCTCCATTATGCAACATCAATCCAATTTTCCCTTGGTGGTCAGGGTCAATCACACCAGCCAATATAGTAACTCCCTTCTTTGCCTGTTGATCCATAAGCATGAGGAGCCCAAAATGGACAGGTTTCAGTGGAATTTGTGTTGTGTCTCCAGGTGAGAGCATTCCTCCCTTTGGAACTAAGACCTCTAGACCCACAGATCATAGGGTCATGGGGACAGGAAGCAAAAATTTTGTGAGTGGGTCACCAGGGATAATAGTGAGTGGTACCACT